CCTGTGTTCAACCTAAACCCTGCTCTTTCCGTTCCTCTTTGAACCCTGTGTGAACGGAGAGGCTCACAGTCTTCAAGTGAAATATAAATATATTCTCTCTGAGCATGAATGCAATCTGACCGAGTATAATTTCCCCTGAAAGAAAATGGTTTTGTGCATCTTCTAATATTAAGCAAGAATTCTTCAACACTTCATATATTTGTCACTGTATTCAATATTTCCATGTCTTATAAACGGGTCGCGTCCTGACCTTGCTGCGTGTGTTTGGTGACCTTGACCTCGGCCTTGGCGCTCACAGAGTAGATGCCGGTGTAGGCGTTGCAGGTGTAGGTTCCCTCGTCTGCAGGCGTCACGCTGTTCAGGATCAAACTGCCGTCAGACGACTTCAGGACGAGACGGCCGTCCGGACGCACCGGGATGCCGTTTCTGGAGGGGGAGGAGAGGGAGGAGAAGAGGAGGAGTTATTTCTGGGTTCCCAGCTAAAAAAACAAACTGTTATTTAACCCTCAAATTGTGCTAAAAAGGGGCAAGCTTCTGCATCTCACATTCCACCTCTTTATAAAAGATTATGAGGGTTCATGTGGTAACAGCATATTTAACTTGGAACATAATTTCACACATAAAAAACGTCTACCTCATTAAAGTCATATTTTTATTTTGTTGAAACACTTGCCTTGCAATTAGAGATGTCCCGATCCGATCACGTGATCGGGGATCGGAGGCGATCACGTGATTTTCAAAAGATCGGAATCGGGAGAAAAAAAATCGGGGATCGGGATTTTCTTTTTGATTTTTTTTTTTTTAAATACTTTTTTAAAAATGTTGTATTCAATGTTACAAAACAAAAATGACCATGTTCAAGTCTTAAAGTCATCCTGAGGCCTTAGTTTTGGTTTCAAATTACAGAACATCATGTATGTGTTGCTTCTTTGGGGCTTGTTTTCATAGACCTGGTTGCTTATTTCTCTCAAATCTGGCAACAGAGTGGGCGCAGTGTCTAATTGTAGCAGTAAGCTAACGAGTACTGAAAGCTTTATTTTGTTTTGATCCAATGCTGCACAACTGAACTGATCCAATGCTGCTGTGAAAGAAAGAAGCTATATCCATGTTGGATAGAATATCCAATTTAAATAAAAAAATAACCTTAAGGGACAACTTGAATGCTTTTTTTTCTCTTAATGCATTGCATAAAGATCGGATCGGGAAAAATCGGTATCGGCAAATTGTCAAAATCAAATGATCGGAATCGGATCGGGAGCTAAAAAGGTGATCGGGACATCCCTACTTGCAATAGTCGTATCAATCATTTTATATATGTTTAGTACCTGCACAGAAGACAACATAACCTCATGCAGGATAAAGCTTCTCCTTTCTTGGGTGTTTATAACTGTATTTATAATTATTGAACTGTCTGATCATTCAAATATTCAATAAACTAAGTCAATAACACATTTGAGGAAAATTAAAGATACAGTTAAAAATAAGTTATTTTGGAGAACAAAAATAAGGTCACATGAATATCTTTCAAATAAAGTATCTTAGGTTTCCAGCTTCTATTGTTGGGGCCACACTTTGAACTTATAGGATCATTATTATAAATAACGTGAGTTCTCACCGGGACCAGCCGATGTTCACGTTGTCCCCGGAGACGACGCAGGGCAGCAGAGCCGTGCTGCCTTCAGGGACCTGGATGTTGTTCGGAGCCGTGGTGATCTTCAGGTCCGCTGGACAGAAAAACACAACGACGAAATCAGATACACATTTTTATGATGGTTGTTTTCCCCCTACCCAGAGTCTGTGTTCATGAGACACCGATGTACTGCCCTCTGCTGGGGATTGAGTGGAATTGTAACAATAATAAACACCTGAACATAGGAGATAATATCATCTGAGTTTAGTTTATTTAAGTAGGTTTTCACAAACAAGACATTTTCTTTGGTGCACAATTTAAACATAATTTAAAAAAAATAGGAAAGAACAAATATAAAAAATAAAAACAATGTTATGATATATACTAAATAAATATGATTAAATTAATAGAAAATAAATAACAAAAGTGCAAAAAGAACGTACATGTAAAAAATGGACTTGTGCACGAAGAATATAAATATACAAAATAAAATATTACAAAAATGTAAAAAATGACTGCAAAGAACCTACACAGTATATCTGACTAATGAAAGGGCAGATTTAGAGTCGTAGTATTTTGTATAAACGTGTAGAGTTTTGAATTTAATGGAGGTCACAAAGACTTGTATTACTGATCTGACCCTAAGGCTAATCTTATTTAGTCCTCTAAATGGTCTGATGGTATCTGATGGTGTGTGATGGTGTCTGATGGTCTCTGATGGTCTCTGATGGTGTCTGATGGTGTCTGATGGTCTCTGATGGTCTCTGATGGTGTCTGATGGTCTCTGATGGTCTCTGATGGTGTCTGATGGTGTCTGATGGTCTCTGATGGTGTCTGATGGTGTTTATGTGATGGTGTCTGATGGTGTTTATGTAATGATCTCTGATGGTGTGTGATGGTGTCTGATGGTCTCTGATGGTCTCAGATGGTCTCTGATGGTGTGTGATGGTGTGTGATGGTGTCTGATGGTGTCTGATGGTCTCTGATGGTGTCTGATGGTGTCTGATGGTGTGTGATGGTGTGTGATGGTGTGTGATGGTATCTGATGGTGTGTGATGGTGTGTGATGGTGTCTGATGGTGTGTGATGGTGTCTGATGGTGTGTGATGGTGTGTGATGGTGTGTGATGGTCTCTGATGGTGTCTGATGGTCTCTGATGGTCTCTGATGGTCTCTGATGGTCTCTGATGGTGTCTGATGGTGTGTGATGGTCTCTGGTGGTGTGTGATGGTGTGTGATGGTCTCTGATGGTGTCTGATGGTGTCTGATGGTGTCTATGTGATGGTGTGTGATGGTGTGTGATGGTGTCTGATGGTGTCTGATGGTCTCTGATGGTGTCTATGTGATGGTCTCTGATGGTGTGTGATTGTGTCTGATGCTCTCTGATGGTCTCTGATGGTCTCTGATGGTGTCTCTGTGATGGTGTGTGATGGTGTCTATGTGATGGTGTGTGATGGTCTCTGATGGTGTTTATGTGATGGTGTGTGATGGTCTCTGATGGTGTCTATGTGATGGTGTGTGATGGTCTCTGATGGTCTCTGATGGTGTGTGATGGTGTCTGATGGTGTCTGATGCTCTCTGATGGTGTCTGATGGTCTCTGGTGGTGTCTGATGGTCTCTGATGGTGTCTATGTGATGGTGTGTGATGGTCTCTGATGGTGTCTATGTGATGGTGTGTGATGGTCTCTGATGGTGTCTATGTGATGGTGTGTGATGGTGTCTGATGGTGTCTATGTGATGGTGTGTGATGGTGTGTGATGGTGTCTATGTGATGGTGTGTGATGGTCTCTGATGGTGTCTATGTGATGGTCTCTGATGGTGTCTATGTGATGGTGTGTGATGGTCTCTGATGGTGTCTATGTGATGGTGTGTGATGGTGTGTGATGGTGTCTATGTGATGGTGTGTGATGGTCTCTGGTGGTGTCTATGTGATGGTGTCTGATGGTGTCTGATGGTCTCTGATGGTGTCTATGTGATGGTGTGTGATTGTGTCTATGTGATGGTGTGTGATGGTCTCTGATGGTGTCTATGTGATGGTGTGTGATGGTGTCTATGTGATGGTGTCTATGTGATGGTGTGTGATGGTGTGTGATGGTGTCTATGTGATGGTGTCTATGTGATGGTGTCTATGTGATGGTGTCTATGTGATGGTGTCTATGTGATGGTGTGTGATGGTGTCTGATGGTGTCTATGTGATGGTGTCTGTGATGGTGTCTATGTGATGGTGTGTGATGGTGTTTGATGGTCTCTGATGGTGTCTATGTGATGTGTGTGATGGTCTCTGATGGCGTCTATGTGATGATGTGTGATGGTGTGTGATGGTGTCTATGTGATGGTGTGTGATGGTGTGTGATGGTGTCTATGTGATGGTGTGTGATGGTGTGTGATGGTGTCTATGTGATGGTGTGTGATGGTGTCTGGTGGTGTGTGATGTTCTCACCTTTTACCTTCAGCTGCAGCGTCCTCTGCTCCAGCTGCTGCTCAGAGGAGGCGGTGCAGGTGTAGAGCGCTGAGTCAGCAGCCTGCAGAGAGACGATGCTCAGAGAGCCGTCCGAGTGCTGGGTCAACCTGAGACACAGGAAGTGACATCACTTATTTACTGTCCGCTAGTCTTACACTGTACAGAAAGTCCTGATGCCAAGTACCGATAAATAAAATATATAACAAATAAATGCAGAGATATACAGTACTAAAGCAACTTGGTAACACTTTATACAATGATCTTATCTGGTACAGGACTAAAAGGATTGATCACGGAACGGACGATGTGCAAACTGGAACTTTGAATTGCCTCGTGTTGAAAGGTGCTATATAAATCAACTTGTGAAATACCCTCTACATAATGTATGAGCAATATGAACATAGCATTGATTGATACAGAGTTGCCCTCTCAGCCTGTTTGCCTCAGTGTTGGCCTGCTATGGGTTTCTGTGCTTCCCTAACATGATTAATTTATCAGTGTGCTGCTGACCGGGGGTTTCTGAGCGTCTGCCCGTCTTTGGTCCACTGGATGCTGACGGCCTGCAGGGCGGAGGGGGGGGCGATGGTGCAGGAGAGCCGGGCCGTCTGTCCTGAACGCATCTCCAGCTGAGAGGAGCCCGAGCGGTCGATACTGAACCTGAGAGGAACAGCAAAATATAACTCAATCAGAGGCTGTTTTAATATTCAGATCTGCAAAGGCTTTACATACAACATTTAATTTAGACTCTTTAATCTGTAATGATTGTCTATATTGTCTCAATGTTTCCAAAAACGTATCTTTAAAAAGCATTTTTGTGTATGTAAAGAAACATATGTTATTCTCACCGAGGGACAGGACCATCTCTGGGCATCAAGATAGGATCCAGCGAAGAACCCACTGTGACACACACACACACACACACACACACACACACAACACACACACACACACACACACACACACACACACACACACACACACACACACACACACACACACACACACACACACACACACACACGGGGTCAATCAAACACCGGGTCAGAGGTTCTTCTCAGATGCTCTCATATCATGAAACATGTGAAATACTGGACTTTTAACACTGTTTTTATTGTGTGTAAATAAATAAAATGAATATTTCTTAACAAGAACAAATAAGAAAATGGATTGTTGGGCTGTTTCTGCTTCCTTAGCATGTTTTCTTTTAAACTTGTGCAAAGAAAAATCATCTAAAATCCACATTCAGGAGTTTATTTGACTAACTGTCTATTTGTGTCTGCAGATTTCTACCGAATCCACCAAAAGTTAGCATTACATAACGCCTCAATTGCATATTTAAATATCAGATTTCTGAAAACTTGTAATATAAAAAGTAATTGTGTTAATGTCCGTAATGAAGTGGGGAAGTTTCATGATGATATCTGTTGGTTACATGTTTTACCCTGTTCACCTCTAGTGTGTACAACATGAATGAAATCTAGATCTCTCTCAGCAGAATCCTCCCTTCAGCAGCTCTTACACAAACCATTCATCCGTCTGTATGTCTGTAAGGAGTGTCTCTGTGTTACCTGAGACGGACAGGTGGATATAGCGGTGTTCTCTCTCCTGCTCTCGAGTCGCCACACACAGAAACCATCCAGAGTCCAGCTGAGAGAGAGGGCCGACCAGCAGGGAGCCGTTGGGCTGCTGGTGGTGCCTGGAGAACACAAAGGAGTGAGTGAGGGAGGGTGTGTGTGTGTGTGTGTGTGTGTGTGTGTGTGTGTGTGTGTGTGTGTGTGTGTGTGTGTGTGTTTATATAAAACGTATTTGTTATTTTAAATGTTACTTTAACTGTGGTAACTTGTACAGTCTTACCTTCTCAAAGTTTACGTTGTTTGATGACCCTCAAAGTAGGAGCTTGTGTGTGTGTGTGTGTGTGTGTGTGTGTGTGTGTGTGTGTGTGTGTGTGTGTGTGTGTGTGTGTGTGTGTGTGTGTGTGTGTGGAATGATCTGCCCCTGCATATCAGACAGGCCTCCACACTGTCTGCTTTTAAATCGCTTCTGAATACCCACCTCTTCTCCTTAGCATTTTGACATCTTGTAAATTGTGTGCGTGTGCGTGTGTGCGTGTGTGTGTGTGTGTGTGTGTGTGTGTGTGTGTGTGTGTGTGTGTGTGTGTGTGTGTGTGTGTGTGTGTGTGTGTGTGTGTGTGTGTGTGTGTGTGTGTGTGTGT